ATGATTATGATGACCGTGATGATATTCGTACTGATGATAATCATACTGATGGTGATGATGATAATTATACTGATGGTGATGATGATAACGATGAGTGTGGAGTGGATGAAAGGGATGATGGTGATGATAATCACAGAAATCAGCAATGTGATAGCAAGAAGCATAGTGATGCCAAGGAATTATTGAAGTCAGTTTGGGATGCAATACAGAATGAGGAAAACCAGAATTTGTCAACTGTACAGTTATTTGAAAGAATGAATATTACACAGGATGATTTTGAAAAGGCTAACAATACATTGAGTCACAAACCTACAATTGTCATAAAAAGAGAACCACAAGATGTATGGGTAAATTTGTACAATCCTGATTTGATTAGATGTTGGAATGCTAATATGGATATCCAGTATATCACCGATGCATATGCCTGTGCAGCTTATGTTGTGTCATATGTCTAAATCAGAACGTGAAATGGGGCAGTTATTAGCAAATACACAGAAAGAAGCTTTGAAGGGTAATTTGGATGCTAGGCAAAGTATGAAGGAACTTGGTTCTGTGTATCTGCATAATCGTGAAGTATCTGCCCAAGAAGCAGTGTTTCGAGTATGTGGTCTTCGATTGAAAGAGGGTTCAAGGAAAGTCGAGTTTATACCTGTTGGTGAAAATCCAGTCAGAATGAGCTTGCCGTTAAGTGTAATTCAGAATAGATCTGAAGATGATGACAGTGACATATTCATGGCTAATAGAGTTGATCGTTACAAAGCAAGACCAGATCTTGATAAATTTAATGACATGTGCCTTGCAAAATTTTGCTCAGAATACAGGGTAATATATAATGCAAACACTAACAAGAAAACTAAATCACCAGTGTATGAACTGGTAAAACTGAACCTGCAGTCATAAGTTACCCCCGATTTTCAGAGAATAAATATCCTGAGAAATATTACCACAGTATATTGCAGCTGTTTCTTCCATATTGTGTAGATGCACATTTGAAACCACCTAAGTTTGAAACATTTGAACAATTCTATAAAAATGTTGCTGTATGTCTAAATGATAAATTGAAATCTGTGAGGTGCATTGTTGAAAGTAATCGTTCCATATATGAAGCAAATGTGGAGTCTCTTGAAGCAGCAGAACAGTATGTGAAGAAATTTGGTCTTCAAGAAGATGCTTGGGCTTTGATTTGTCCTAAGTCTGAGCAAGAGAGACTTGAATGTGAAGCAGAACGTGAAGAAGTAATAGGAGAAGAGAATGGTTTTGATATCCCTGATTTGCAAGCTGATGAAACAGTAGGAAAAAAATGTAGTATTGAACCACATCCAGCAAAAATATCAAAGCAAGAAGCACTCAATTTATTAAGGTCATTGAACGAACAGCAGATACAAGTGTTTAATAAGATTCGTAACTGGTGCTTGAAGAAGATCAATGGGAAAAATCCTGAACCATTTCATGTATTTGTGACCGGTGGAGCTGGAACTGGGAAAAGCCACTTGATAAAGTCAGTTCACTATGAAGCAACAAGACTTTTTGCTAGAATGGTTCAAAACCCTGAGAACATGTCAGTATTGATAGTTGCGCCTAAAGGAGTTGCTGCATTTAATGTCAATGGTAGTACAATTCACAGTGCACTTTCAATCCCTGTTGATGCTAGATTACCATATCAACCACTTGGAGAAGAGAAATTGAATACGCTGAGGAATGTGTTACAAGATCTTCAAATTTTGATTATTGATGAAATATCGATGGTTGATCACAAGATTTTGTGCTATATACATGGACGTTTGCGTCAGATGAAACAAACACGTAGTCATAATCATTTCGGTAAAATCAGTATTTTAGCTGTTGGAGATTTTTATCAGCTACCTCTAGTCAAAGGAAAAGCATTGTATCAGAGAGCACTCCCAGTAGATCTATGGAATGATTTTTTCCAGAAAGTAAAACTTAATGAAATCATGCGACAAAAAGATGTTGTAGAGTTTGCAAAAGCACTGAATAGATTACGAGTAAAAACTAAGAAGGAAAAGTTATCAGAAGAAGATGTAACCTTGTTGAAGTCCTGTGAAACTGGAGAAGATTGGAATGATGCATTACATATCTACCCATGTAACAAACAAGTGGATGAATACAATACGCAAACACTCTTTGCAACGTGTACTGATTGTATATGTATTGTTGCTAAGGATTTACAGAAAGATGCTATGTAAAGGTAATCGAAAAGGAAGGGTAAAAGTTCCTAAGAAATCAACATACACAAGCTTGCCTGAATCATTGTGGTTAGGTGTTGGTGCTAGAGTTATGTTAACTAAGAATATTGATGTATCAGATGGACTTGTGAATGGAGTGTTTGGCACTGTATGTGCAATTATTATGTTGCCTGATAAATCCTGGCCGAAGTGCATTGAAGTTCAGTTTGATAATAAGGATGTTGGATTGAAGTTAAAAAGAAAATACAAATCGTCAAATAAAGAAGACACAGTTCCAATTCAAAAGGAAGAAGAAAATGTCAGTAAGCAATGTGTTCGACAGCAGTTTCCCTTAAAATAAGCCTGGGCATGCACAGTTCACAAAGTGCAAGGAATGACAACAGATAGAGCAGTTGTTTGCCTTGAACACACATTTTCAGCTGGACAAGCCTATGTTGCACTGAGCAGAGTCACATCAATGCATGGACTTGTGATTCAAGGATTTGATGAAAAATATATCTACTGTAACAAGGCAGTTTCGGAATCATTGAAAAGTATGCCAGAATTTACTGATGCTGAAGAATGTGCAAGGGAAGTGAAATCTGACAAGACTGTTATCATGATGCATAACATTCAAGGATTAAAGGAACATCAAATGGACCTAAAATGTAATAATGAAATGATGAAATCTGATTTCATTTGTCTTACTGAGACATGGATCGATAATGAGGAATACTCTGATGTAGAATTGAGTGATTTCAAATGCTATCATCAGATCAGAAGTGCGTCATATGATAATTCAAGTACAGTTACACAAATGTTGAAGCAGCAATGTCGTGGAGGTGTAGCAGTATTTGGTAGAAGGAACAGCACATTTAGCAGACTGACTCTTTCTGTCCAGAATCTAGAGCATATTGCATTTCAGGTAATAAGTAAGACGTCATACTGTGTGGCAGTAATTTATCGTCCGGCTTCATATTCAATGGATGAATTTCTTGGCTATCTTAAAATGTTGCTGAGTGAACTTCATAAAGTGTCTAATAGGTGCATTGTAATGGGTGATTTTAATGAAGACATTCTGAAACACTGTTCACGGATTGAAAAGTTAATGCAAGATAATGGTTATAGACAGTGTGTTCATGATGAAACTACAGAAAATGGCACATTGATTGACCACGTATACGTCAGAAATATGGATACAGTAGATGCTGCAGTGATTCCAACATACTACAGCTATCATGAAGCAGTTTCCATAAGAATATAATTTGAATACTTTTATTGAGAACATTCTGAAACGTACATGTACATGCATGTATAACATTTAAACTGTCATACATGTACATGTACATGTATAACATTGAAACTGTCAATGTGAAGTGTACTGGTGTACACGTACATTGTATTTCACAGTTCCATAATGTTGGGATCATTTTGGACATTATAGAAGTGAGGATCAAGTGAATATTTATTCTCGTAAAATGTATGAATCTGTTTCATCATGATTAACCCATACTGTGAAGGCCCTTTCAAAAAAAGCTTGGTTGTATCCTCAAATTGTTCAAAATATTCTAATTGCCACAGTGTACAAATTGAATACAGCCTCAATCTGCCTAAATAATTTTTTTGTTAATGACATTTGTTCCTGGAGGGATGATCACTGGCTAAATATCCTTCATTTGTATGCATAAAGGTATTTGTATTAAATGTAATTCTGTTAAATGATGTTGTTTTAATGTAAAGCTGATCTTTGAAGCAAACATACAATTGATGTGCAATATCAGTGCTAATTTGAACTAGTCATGAAATTACGATGGATGTTTTTTTGTAGATCATGTTCATTTCTCAAGTTGTATACTCAAGAGACGTACATTATGTGCAAGATGGAATAATGTCATTCATGGTAAGTAAACAATTGCATCATCTATTTTGAGGACATAGTAGAAATCTAAGAGAACATAGAGACCAGATTAGTTGAGCCTAGCTACTCAGTGGTCTGAGCTTCAGAAGTGCTATAGGTGAACATCGCGGTGACCATTCCTTTAAGTATAAACAAATCCTTAAAAACAATTGAGAATATCGGACTCCTTGTGACGAGGAGATCTGCATGTGACGCACATTTGCTCACATCTGATCTCCTCCATTGACGAAACAATTCAGCTACACATACTTGGGGTATGTAGCGGTAATCTTCTCTGATGTTAAGATTGACGTACTGGTAGATGTGGACAAACAGTGTGGATTTGGCAGACTCCCCACAGATGTCTGGAAGAACTACCTCAAAATGACACCAAAAACAGCTTCCTGTTGTGCAGTGCCGAGTCCTGGGTGACCACCCATTGGTGGCTGCTGCTCCTCGAGTGTTTCCATCAGTGTTGCCTCTATACCATTCATTGGAGTGACCTCGTCAGCAGTATTGAAGTCTGTGGGGCAACCGATGTTACCAGCATTGAGGCCATGCTCCTAAACATGAAGCTGCATTGAGGAGGATATCTAGCATGGAGAATCATGGCCTGCAAAAGATTGTTGAGTTCAGGGAACTGTTTAGGAGCCATCGCGACTGAGGAGCACCATGGAAGAGGTATTGGTACACAGACACCTTGAAAAAGTCCTCGACCACTTTCCACGTTGGCCGCTAGTAGTGTGTAATGCAAGCTGCTGATTCTGTAAGATAAGGAGACATGGTCAACCAGGGCACCTCATTGGAGGTCAATTGAAGGTCCAGCATGTCAATACATGGTGGATGTGATTTCCAAAAGAGTGAACTTGTGTAATTTTGTAAACATTTTTGAGCGTTTGGCCAGATTACAGTGTGCCCCACAACTCTGCTCTCCAAAAGCATCACTTTACCTGCCAGTATTTGAACATGGTTCAGGTGAGTGAGATTGTCAGTTTTCCTGTAAGTTTTTTTTTGGGGGGGGGGGGAGGGCGGAGGGGGGTTGGTTGGTGGTGTTCAACTGTTCCTCAACTTGACACTTGCTCGTTTGTGTTTGGTTTGTGTAAGTACTGGAGCTAGTAGATCCTCACACATGTCATTCTCTTGTATGCACTTTCTGTAGAAGTCACCAACTACAAATCCACATGTTTTCTGCCAGTTGCCAGTGTGCTTTCCAACAGCATCACTCTGTATGCCAGTATATGAACATGGTTCAGGTGAGTGAGATTGTAAGATTTTCTGGTTTTTCGAGGGTTTTGTCAGTGGTGTTCAAGTGTTCTTCAAATTGAAACTTGCTTGTTTGTGTTTGGTTTGTGTGAGTACTGGAGCTAGTAGATCCTCACACATGTCATTCTCTTGTATGCACTTTCTGTAGAAGTCACCAACTACAAATCCACATGTTTCCTGCCAGTTGCCAGTGTGCTCTCCAACAGCATCACTCTGTATGCCAGTATATGAACTTGGTTCAGGTGAGTGAGATTTATCATGAAACTTCATTTCCATTACCATTATTGAAGCAAATAATTGGAAAAGTACCTTATTGGGACTTGATGAATCACAAAGGTTGTATCAGGACCGTCAAACAATCACGTTGACGTTGCTGAGGCGCTTATGTGACCTGTCACATTGTCATACTTGGTCAAACAACAGTCAGCAGTTTTACAAGTGGGCTAGCTTGTATCTTCCATCTCTGTTCATCTGATGGCAGTGCATGTGGATTTTGACCGCTGCACATATTTTGAATTTCTAGAGGTGGTCCTCCCTGGCGATGATCTTATTGTACATTGTGCACGTATATGTTGTCTCAAGTCAGATCTTAAATATTTGTGAATGATTTTCTAAAACCTACTCTATTTTCAAACTTTGGACAATGTTCAGACTTTGCTCATAGAAATACACGCGGACAAGTGCATTCTGACATATATAGCTCAAATTTGAGGTAAAGGGCAACTAATGCAGAGTATGATATTGATGATTTGCATTGTCCTCAAATGAGGCACTTGGAAGGGCATCTACATATCTGCAAATAGTGTACCTTGAATGCAATTGATAGCTTAAAATTGAGTGTGTCCACTAATTTTTTAGCATTTTGCAAAAGTAAAGCCAGGTGGCAAAATTGTACGAGACATAATTTTGTACAAGTGTTGTTTCTTATAAACCACTTCCTATTTTATTGTATTCAGGGAAACATGCTGACTCTGTAGCAGATAAAATGAAGTGGTGCCAGCCTTTCTGCTATCGCTCTGTTAGCAACATCCAGCCTTATGTCATACAAGATGAAGTTACTCTGTAATTGTACGCGCTCAGCCACTATTGCGAGGCCTAATTGTCATATGGTTCAACCTAACAACCTTTGTGTATACTGGAACCTCCAAGAAGCGTGAAATATACATAGAGACTCTTTCTACGAATCTATGTTGAAAGCAACACTGAGTGATCACAAACGTATCACTAAATACAGTGCTTCGGAGAAAAAGTGAGTCTGGAATCATGCACTGAAAGAGCTTGTGGCCTGCATGAGATGAGTGACTGCAAGTGACATGCATGTTTATGTTAAATCCATTATTTGGTACCTGAATGGTAAAACTGTTATCTTCCAGTTCCTCAACTACGGTGCAGAAAGCAACTAAAAGATATCAGAGTTATGGAACATAATCATGTTGAATTTGTATTTATGATAATACAAGTACATGTTACGTGTAAAATACCACTGGCAGTGTATAACTGTACATCTATGTTTGTATGACCACGTTTAGTTTTAGTTTGATTGTTAAAATGGGGAGGGGGGGGGGCTTATTAAGCTGTGTTTGTGTACTTAGATAATTTCTTGTGGCATGCCCCAGATAGGTGTGGAGTCATGCCGTTTCTAAAAATCTTAAGGTTTTTCTGCATTCTAGAGTTTGTTTTGGGGAACAGTTTTCCCTCTTCAATATTTTAGCTGTAAATGTGTAGTCTTCATGTTATCCATCATAACACTTTATAAAGGCTCAGTAATGTTTATCAGGGACAGTTTCTATGCACTTATATTACTTTTAGATGAAATTTGTCTTTTCCAGCGTTTTTTAAATGTGTTAAGAAATTAGCTATATTGTCAATTGTTAAGGACTTTGACATCTATCAAGTATCATGTAGACATTTTAATCTTGGTCAATTATATTTAAAGCCATTGTCACATATATGCCCTTTCCAATGTAGCAACCAACAAGCCGTCAGCCAAGCATGTTCAAAAATACAATACTTGACAAAGAATAAGTTCAATTTGATTTTTATTTTTGGGGGGGGGGGGTTGGAGTGTTGTGAGTGTTATGCATGCTAGTAGAGATGAGCTGACTGTTAAGCAAGTAAATATTCACAAGCTTTACTTATATTGTGAGTAATCCTTTACATTTCCAAAAGAATCGACAATTACAAAGGATATCAGATATGGTAAGGATAAGTAGGACTCTCAACATCAGCCTTACAATTTATAGTCCATGCTCTTTGCTCAGGGACAGATTGTATGCACTTATCTAAATTTTAGATGAAATTTGTCTTTTGCACCGTTTTTTTAAGTGTTAAGAAATAGCTATATTGTCATTGTCGAGCAGTTTGATAGTACATGTACATGTACAAAAAAGTGACAACATCTATCATGTAGACATTTTAATTATTGGTATTTTGGTCAATTGTATTTAAAGCCATTATCACATATATGCCTTGTAGCTCCCAACAAGTCATCAACCAAGCATGTTTTTCAATAAACTACTTTACAAAGAATAAGTCAAATTTGACTTGCATTTTTGTCGAAGTCAATGTTCCTTTTTTTGGGGGGGGGGGGGTTGGAGTGTAATGAGACTAATCATCTGAGTACGCACTCATTTGAATAAATAATATGATGAAGTTTCAATAACACGTTACTGCAGTCATTTTGTTAAACAAAAAACACTTGGTGCAACAGGTTTGACATTTGTTTTTCCGCATTATGTTTTTTTTAGTTGAAGCAAGGTCTTTATGTTTGAATGCATTACCATTATTTTATGCGCTGTTGTTGTTTTTGTTATTTAGATTGAGGACTTGAAGACTGTACACCGTTATTAAGATGATGCACTGGGACCCAATATGACATCATCATGGCCTCTGATTTTGTATCTACATGTATACTAATAAAGGAACGACATCTGTCTGTTTGCTCATCCCCGAAAGCAGAACAAAATCACCGAGACAAATTTCGCTCGTACCCCCGCCCTGCAAACAGGGCGCTGGAAAGGGCTGATAGGCTTAAAGGAAGATTAAGAATACAACTATCAGGGTTGATTTTTTTTAGGAATTTTCAAAGCAAAAGAGGTCTTTTCATTCTAACCTCTTATTGCCACGAAACGTAGGAAGGTTTTAGACCTACCTTCACATTGTGTTTAAAGCAAAAATTAAGGATACAACTATCAGGGTTGATTTTTTTTTGGAATTTTCGAAGCAAAAGAGGTCTTTTCATTCTAACTTCCGGTCTGATGACGTCATCATTTTTTTTCGCGCACAGGTGTTGTCTGCATTAAGGTCATTCACGGCACTGTCACTGTGGACAGGATTTGACTCCGCAACACGTGCGCTGCGAACGTACGTGCATATGTACATTCTGTGCATGTTTTAAAGCAGAGGTATTGTCAACCTAAAGTTTCAAGAGTGCGCAGGGCATGTTCGAGTTCGCTTATTGCCTCGAAGCTTTCAAATGTTTTTGACCTACCCTTAGATCGACAAATAAAGTAAAAACTAATATAAAAACTGCCATGGTTGATTTTTCAGGAATTTTCAAAGGAAAAAGGGTCTTTTCAAAGGAAAAAGGGTCTTTTCAAAGGAAAAAGGGTCTTTTCATTATAACTTCCGGTATGATGACGTCATACGCCTAAAACTTCGCACACGTTTTAAGTGGGTCAAGATCATCATATACACCAATATTTAGGCGATTACGACAAATTTCGCCACAGACATCTATTCAAAACACATTTTTGAAAATTTTCAACCTGTCGCTAGAAGGCGCTCGAAGATTGCATGACGTCATTGGTAAATGATTTGAAGAATACTATTGGCCAAGAGACTAACACCGTTAAAAGCAAGTTCATATCTATTACCACTTTTAAATGATAATCCACTTCCGGTTTTGGCCTTTTTCGACCGGAAGCAAGGGTCACGTGGTTTCACGCACACTGAATGAATTAATAAAGACCTCAACCTACTCTACCACTTGCCGGCAACAGAATGCTGTGGACGCGTATGGTTGATTTCTTATGCATTTTTAAATATTAAAAGTGTCAAAATTTAATTGCCTATCAATCAACATGGGATGACGTCATCATGACGTCATCATTCCACAATGTTGTTCGAATTAGGGTCTTTGCCTAGACAAAGAGTGGTGTAAATGAATTACTGGCAAAGAGTCAAAAATGCCCTTTGAAAAGCGACAATCTTTTTAAATTTCTGTGTACAAAGTCTATGGGAAAAATTTAATATTCAAAAATCTATAATAAAATTATGCCAAGACTATGACATCATGATGACATCATTATCAAGTGATTTATTATGTATTCATGAATAATTAAGTCTATGGGGTTTTGGCGACAAAAAGAAGAAGGAACTAGAGGTCTATGTCTGTTTGCAACAGAACATAGGGCTTTTCCGCATTATGATTTTTTTTAATCAATAATTTGCCCTGAATATTCATGAACATAAAATCTGTCAAAGTTAGCCGAAAATCGGCTAAAACGGTCACTGTGGACAGGATTTGGCCTCGGCATTACGATGTATGTGCGTGTGCACAAGGTCTTTGCTTGGACAAAGAGTGATCTAAATAAATTACTGGCAGAGTCGAAAACGCACTTTTTTCAAATCGACAAATATTTTTAAATTTGTTGATGACGTCATCGTGACGTCACTTCGAACTTTGCATACTGATTTACTACCTACCCACCAAGTTTCATGACAATTGGACCTTTCCTTATATGAGTTTTGCAAAATCGCATTTTGATGACGTCATGATGACGTCACACATTTTTCAAGTTTTGTGCAAATAGCTATTACATAACAGACCAAATGCAAAAAAGAATTTTGCATTTTGCATGTTGCGTTCGGGAGATATGGCTAAAAGGTCCAAACAAATAAATATTCATATAAAATCTCAGGATGACGTCATCATGACGTCACCTCATTTTTAATCTATAACACATCCTGGTATAGCCACATAACAAGTTTCAACCCAATCGGACTTACATTTCTGTAGATATAAGACTTCACAATATGTACGTAAATTTTCAAAAATCAATAAAAAAAATTAGGTGATGACGTCATCGTGACGTCATAGTCTTGGCATAATTTTTGTATGAGGGTCTTCCTGGCTGTAACTTTGATGACGATTCCAGATCGCCAAGTTATTAAAAAGGTGTCTTGAAAACGTGTACAAAGTCAACGGGTTAAAAATCCCACAGCAGAAAAACTGC